GGCACTGAGATTCTCGCATTCATCTCGCGGCATGGCACTGACCTTCGTTGCGCAGCATGCTGGTAATTACTTGTCGATGTCTCGAACATTGTCGAACCATACGGACTTGTGCAAGTACGCGCTCGCGGGGGCCAACAGCCAGTCGGCGGGAAGGCGAGCCTGGGGGGGGGGGGGGATNNGGGTGGGTGGGGTGTGGGGGTGTGGGGGGGGGTGTGGGTGTGGTGTGGGTAGTGTGGGTGGTGTGTGGGGTGTGGGTGGTGTGGGTGGGGCCCGTGTGGATGTGGATGTCTGTGCGTGTTTGTGTGTGTGTGTGCGTGTGCGTGTGTATGTGTGTGTCTGTGTGTGTATTTTTGTTAGTGCATGTGGGTGTGTCGCTGTGCACGCGTACGCGTGTGGGTGTGGGTGTGGGTGTTGGTGTTGGTGTGTGTGTGTGTTTGTGTGTGTCTGTCTGTCAGTCTGTGTGTTTGTGTGACTGACTCTGTGTGTGTGTGTGTGCGCGTGTCAGTTTGCGTGTGTCTCGTGGCTCTGTCTGTCTCTGTGTGTGTGTGTATAAAATATGTGAGTCTGTGTGTGCGTGTGCGTATGGGTATGGTGTGTGCATGTGTGTGTGTGTGTATGTGTGTGTGTGGGTGGGGGTGCGAGTGTGGGTGTGCGCGGGGGTGCGTGTGCGGGTCCATGGGTATAGTGGTGTGGGTGTAGGTCTGGGTGCGCGTGCGTATGCGCTCGTGCGCTCGTGCGCTCGTGCGCGCGCACATGTATACATGTATGTATGTATGTATGTATGTATGTATGTATAACACTTGGGCTTGTATGGGCTTGTCCAAAAACCCCGCTATGAATCCATTATCCCAAAACTGGCTTGTCGTCTTGATAGCTTATCGCTCTACAATGCCGGCATTATCACCAATGCCAAGTCCGGGGAACAGGTTTGGCTCTTGGAGGCTTATGACTTTTGCATGCGCTGATATGCCAACGACCAATTCAATTTAACGTTTCGCACTTGGTGCATGCACATGGCAGTGCTGGGGAGCATGAACCTTCACACTTCTCCAGCGTTAGAAAAGTTCCAAACCAGGAGAGAGCGAAGCGACACCCAGGCCCAAAGTCTCATGCTTGCCGCAGGACCGTTCTGGAGATAAGGTCCTGAAAGCTGTCGTTAGCCAGGCGCTCGGCATCCGTCTTTCCCTTCTTCAGCCCGCATATGTCCTGCGAGCAAGGGCTTGCACGTGCGACTGTGTGCATGCGGATCAGTTTGTGCTCGCCAGTCGGATTTTGCAGGCATTTACCATGCCGCAAGGTCGACACGACAACAGTCTTCAGCCACAGCCATCAATGCAACACAATCTGACCTGTTGCAACCTGCTGTACGCCTGCGACAAGGAAGCAGTGGCAACCAAACTCAGCACTCGTCTACTGGAGCAGCATTTGCACAAACTCTAAGTAAGGTCCTAAACTCCAACCGCTCCTTTTCCAGGCAGCCCCACAGATGCTTCTTGACCAGCTTTACCTTCTGAAACACAACGCGACACTTGGGGTGCAGCAGCTCCAGGCGAGATGGCAGACAGCTTCCGCAATCTGTGCTTCTGTCTAATTTCGCAGGCCGGTGGCCCTTTGGCATGTGATGTTTCTCACTTCATGTACCTTCTGTTGCCTCACTACGTACGTTGGCCACCCACCAAGAAACAAAAACTCGTAGTCGTGTGTGCCTTTCGTGCTGCAACTACCGCTGCCCATCCGCCTCATGTTTGGGCTGGTCATATTCAAAGATGTGCGTCAACGTTACCTACTCAGTTGCTCCACATCTAGGTATATGCAACCCGCCCGTGCCCCTTCTAGGCCAGGATCCTGCCTCATCGTTCACTCAAGTAACGAAATATCGCAAAGCTGGACTAACCGTGCTGAACATCTTGAACCCTTTGACTCTGTGACGGGTGGCGTCGACGAACTTGGAGTTTCGACTGTAGGCCTCGGCGTTCCACCGGGCAAGCCAGAGTTCGGCCCGAAGCGGGCAAGGTCTACACCACGGAACCTTTTCAGGCCTCATGCGCAACTACAAATGCCACACGAGACTCGAGACATACATATCAGTTGTGACTAGATCGCGTTTCAGGTTCAAGTACTCCTAGTCTAACACATGCCTATACCCTGAACTCCCAACTAATTGCAGGCTTGCGACAATGTCAATGCTCTCGGCAGAGGTAGGCTTCTCTGCTAGCTCGAAATCCAATCCGCCGTCCATGAAGGAGCCGGCCACGTCTTCCATACCTCTTGACAAACATTGGTACACGGTAAACACCATACCGGCGCAAAGGACTCAAGACAATGCCTCATGATTTCCATTTGGGACAAGTGCTAAAGGATCGCTGCGCAGTCAAAAGAAACCGTCGTAGTAATAGACCACGAGCCTTTGACCATGCTTTTTGGGTTTCTCAGCTCGCAAGAACCGCCTCTGACCGCAGTCTCCGAAGCTGCTCCTGTGTGATCTGGAAACAGTGAACTCTCAAGCATCGATGCGGGCAGGAAGCCAACATCACCCAGGTTGTCACCATCACCGCCAGGCAGCACCTCTGTAAGTCCGTCTGACGGTCTTTGTCGTGGTCTCTCTCTATACACACACACACACATCGCTCGACTCGCTAGACAAGATTCCATTTTTGAGGGGATCATGCAATGTCGCCTCGAACTTGAGCGGATGAGGTTGAATGCTGCACACTTGAAACACTGCGCAAATCCCAAACCTCTTCACGAAGGACGCTTCAGGCGGCTGCTAAGGCCGAAAAATGTCGGAATACTCCAAAAGCATGGGCAAATTATATCTCAGGCCTTGTCGTTGGGCCCCAGGAAAAGCTCCTGGCGCATCGAAGGCAGATTCGTGGTCAAAAGGGTGCCCTTGAGTTTCGTCCGTGTTGTCATGATTGACTGCCCCACACCCATCCTGTCCTATACTCCTAGCCTAACCACAACCTTCGACATAAATCGAAGGATGGATATTGGCATGACCTTGCTAGCTGCTAGTCTGGATACATGAACTCGCACAGCAAAGAGCATGACTGGGATAATCCTGACACGGTCTCAGACGAGTGGAACAGGGTCACGTTGCCTGTCAATGCGGTTCCGAAGCCAAAGAAATCACTCGGAAACCGCAATTGCCAGCTCCTGGGGATCGACATCCAGATGCGCAGGAAGGCCACTGCCATCGAAGTCGTCCGCGGCATCCTCCACACCGGGCAGAACCAGATTCTGCAGGTCAGGAGGCCCGGTTGGTGCACGTCCGCGCCTTTGCGGACTTCGACCTATTACATACACGCGACGTACTCAGCCCATATCATGCGACAGCAACATTCAAGAACTTGGTTACTCGGACAGTTCATGAAAATGTCGCCAAGTCAGCATGCACAAAGTAGCCGGCAACCGCCGAACGTAGCAACAGGGAGCAAGGAACATGATTGATGATGTGATGCTGATGCTGGCGCTACAGCTGAGGATGAACATTTCGTTCTTGAAGTTGTTGAGGCAGTAGATACATCCTAACGATGATTATAAGGATGGTGTTGGCCAGTGATGATTAGCATGGTGGTTCTGATGTAGAAAAGCATGAAGAAACCAACTATCATGATGAGGAGGGCGGCTGGGAATCAGAATGACAACAATCATGGTGGGAAGGCGAAGTTGATTCTGGCAACGAGGGTGGGGCCTGCTTTTATTCCCGATGGTGGGCATATTGGTGACGTGGAGGATGATTTGAACCAATATCCAACTTTAGCTGCTGCTGATGGTCATGCTGACGATGCGATGGATGTGGCGGAGCAGACGGGGAGGGGAGGAGGAGGATGAGGAGAGGAGGAGGAGGAAGGTGGTGAAGACGCCGCTGATGATTCATATGGTAGTAATGATGAGCAATACTAGTAAGATGATGCTTTCATCATGCTGGTGATGATGACGCTGTCAATGATGATGCTGATGGTGCAGGCATCGGTGATGACACTGGCCGCGACAAAAACTGAGGCGAAACTGATACCAGCTAGTGCCGCATCATGACGAACAGGCCAGGTGAGCAACGACATCATGAAAGCTCGCAATGGTAATGACTCAGTAATGACCATAGTATCCCCGCAGTTACTGAAGGTCGGCCTCCGCCGCTGCGTCAGCTGTAAATCCCTCCTCGCCATCCTGCGTGTTTTTTTTCAACTTCGGTTTCGAACTTTGCATTGCTCTGAACTGGAGTCTACAGCGGTTCGCGCTAATTACAGAAATCTGTAACCTGTTATGCACGGGATATCAAGAGAGCAATCGACTTGACTACAGCCCATTCATGTGGGTTGGAGGCTGCGGAGCTATGCATACGCATCACAAGACCGCGAACTAACACCGTGAAATCCATGATCCGCTCTCTTGCTACTCCGGTCTTTCAAAGTACATGAGTGCTTGAACTCGACAGTGGACGACGCTAACCGGCGTGAATAACAAACCCGATTGCATGCCGTGCCCCGTAACTCCCAAAAGCTCCCCCTGCTGCTTGGCAACATCTGCCCTGCGTGGCTTCGATGATGCGAGCCATGGGAAGGCCTGCAAGGGGCTCCAAACTGGCTCTGGTCAGGTTTGGTTTTTTGGGAGCACGCAACATGGACGATGCCAGGTACAGCTGTGCTGATCAAGGGCGCCTCCGTATTCTCCACGACCACGGTTGAGAAGAGGTCGGAGAAGCCGTGTGGGCCCTCGCCCGAAGGAGGTGGCTTCTTGACCAGCTTCAGCATGAGATGAGGACGCAGGCCCAAGCACGCAAAATCCACCTTGCGACACTGCGTCGGGTAAGTCTGAAGCGTTGTGGGGAGCGGATGGGAGCGGGATACAGGGGCCGGAGCAGGGTGTGTGTTGGCCAGGAAAAGCATGCAGCAGAGGGGCATAGGGGCACAGGCAGGGGCCAGGGGGCAGGCAGGACAGGCTGGGACCTCTGCCATGCTCCTACCATGCTGCAACGCCGCTGGCGTGGCATCGACTGGAACCGAAGGAGCGGCTAAGTAGCGGAATAATCGCAGTGTATAACGTCTCCCGTCCATCACGAAAAGTCTATTCCAAACCGTTGGGCTTATCCTTCTTCAAACACTCCATGGCAATCAAAGACACCTTGGACCAGGTCTGCCAACTTGGCATGGTGATTCGATCGATCATGTACCTTGCACAAGGCCGGAGATTTCGGAAAGAGATGCTGCAAGCAGTGCACAAATATTGCTTTGAAGGTCCTAGCATTTAATGGACATGCAAAACCTCCAAGGCTCAACCTGACGGATATCTCGAAGGAGTTGCAAAAGGCTTGCATTGATCTCAATATGTGTTTTTGTGCATGTTTCATTATGTACGTGCAAATGTACATACATACACACATACACACATACACACATACACATACATACATACATGCATGCATGCATACATACATACATACATACATACATACACTAACATAACATAACATAGCATAACATAACGGAACATACATAAAATCATACATACATACATGCATACATACATACATACATACTTACTTACTTGCATGCATGCATGCATGCATGCATGCATGCATGCATGCATGCATACGTACTTACGTTATTTTTATACATATACATACATACGGATGTTTACATATATGGGGGTTGTTCTTTATTATGGTTGCAGCCCGTAACTCGAAAATCGCCTTGCGCTTCGCCCTTGCGCGCTCTTGCGCGTACAAGGTTTTTAACACATTCCCACCTTGTAGTAGCCTTGATAGACCAGCCGGAAAATAGCAAGTTCAGAATCCGGTTTGAAGATTTCGTGCAGGGAACTTGGGTGGGTTTTCAAACAACTGTCACGCAAGAGGAATGGGGCATTGGTCGAAGTTGGAGGGTTCCCCTTGAGCCGCCCTTGCGCGCGGCTTGCGCGCTGCTTGCGCGCTGAACCCTGTGCAAAACTGATTTTGGCAGTTTTCGGATCTGTGCTTAACACAGGTAGTAGTACTGGTAATGATACTAGGACTCCTGCTAGTAGTAGTGATACTAGTAGTAAGTAGTAGTTCCCCTTGCGCTGAACTTGCGCTCGCCCTTGCGTGCGCTTGCGCGGCGTCGTGTTTTTACTAGGTCCCAAACCTGAATCCAAATATTAAAGTGCGCTGTTAGTCTACGGTAAAGAGCCGGGGGTTTAGAACAACTGTCATATGAATATATGTATATACACACACGCACACACAGAACTATGTGTATCTATGCGCATATATACCGTCTAACATGTATACGTGTATGTGTGCCTCTGCGCTGGAACACGTAGCAGTTCCCACACCTCATGCCTACATATTGTGACTCTGAAACCGCTAGCGAATTCAACTCGAGGCGCGGAGGCACGTCCTTCCGCAGCTGCCACTGTGTGGCTCTTTCATTGAGCTGATGCTTCGCGACGGGCTCTGTCTCAATGGGCTTCGGTGGCTTATCCAAGTTGGCCAGATCAAAGAGAGGCCTCTTTGGCTGCTTCTCCTTGGCCTCTCTGCCCTCCTTTTCGGGCACTGCTGCAAGGGTCCCCTCGTGTGCGTCGGCTAAAGCACTGCTGGCCTTGCCACCTTTGCCACGGCCCGGCTTGGACCAACACTCCTCGAAGTAGGCGAACTGATTCGAGCCACCTGCACCGCAGAACTTCTGAAAGAGCTCGTCGAAAGCCACAACGTCAGCTTTGCTTGTGGAGCCCCCTGGCGCAGCCAACACCTGCGATGCCTGCATGTCCCCCAGAGGTACCAAGGACTCGCCACCCACATTTGCGTGGCCGGTAGGAGCCTTCCGAGACTCGGAAGACGGTGCCGTGCTCGATTCCACAGCACTGCAAACATCCTCATCTGGTGGACCAAAGTCGGGCATTTCCGCAGCTTCGGGCTCGAAGGCGTTCCTGGGGTCAGCGAGATTAAGGCAATCAAAACAACCATTAGGTTGAATGAAAACAACATGGTTATGGGTTGGGGAGTCTGCTGCTAGAAGCTGCAGAGTCAGTAGGAGTAGCAATCGCAACCGCAAGAGCAATGCAAGAAACGGTCTCTGCAAGAATTAGTGCAAATCGGCTTAAGAGTGAACATGTCTGAAAGGCCCAGGTTTCGCTGGTGGTGGCTGCGAGCAGGCCGCCAAGGCCTCTGACGTTCCAAGCCCTGCGAGAACCGCGACGCCCAGCAACTCTTCCAATGCTTTCCTGTCGGGTGATTGGCTGGCGAGTGGGTGCGCGTGCGTGCGTGCGTGC